CCCGTAATCCTATTGCAGCGGGGGGACATTAATTGCCGGGTGCTGCTGTCAGCTCGCGGGAGCGCGCACGGAGCGCGGGCCCCCCCCGCGGCCATTCACGGGGAATCAATGGGTGACGTCACGATCGGCCATCGGCCCCGAGAAGTGCGGGGGGGTTGGGGGGGGGGCGGGGGCACAGAGCTCCCGCGGCCCCGGGATGCTGCAAACAGCCGATGCCGGCACACGCACGGCTCCACCGCTTCCCCAGGTGGGGCCCTGTCGTGTTGTTGTTGGTGTTTTTTTCTGCACAACCCCTCGCACCTTGCAGTGGTGCAGACCCAGTGCGCTCGCCCAACTCACCTGACCCTCCCCCCCATCCCTCAGCACACGTTGGGCTCCCCCCCCCCCCAGTGCAATCCTGCTGGGAAATGCAGTGCGGGCTGCAACGCAATGCCACTGCACTCCGGTGCTTGGGTGCATCCCCACACAGGGCAGCACTGGAGATATTATTTAAAATAAATATATATATAATTAAAACATGGTGGGGGGAGGGGGCAGATGGTGTTACCTGCAAGCTCTCTGCACGTGGAAAGGAGATGCAAGGGGATGCAACAGAAGGGGACACAGTGCCAGCAGCAGCAGCAGCCCTCCACCCCCCCAGGTTCTCACCTCCCAGCATCACCTCCTCTAGGAGCTCACCCATCTTCTGCCCACATCTCCCCACTTTGGGTTCTGCCCTCGCCACTCAGAAGCTTGGAGACCAACAGCTGCAGCATCTTTGCCATAATGCTATTGAATAATGGTGGGTGCAGCCACAGTTATCCCCCAGCAGAGCGTCCGCACTGGCACTGAACGGGGCGGGGGGGGGTTGGGGGAGAGGTGTGACACCATCCCTGGGGGTGTTTGAGAGCCATGGGAATGTGGCACTGAGAGAAATGGGCAGAGGGCATAGGGGGTGGGCTGGGGGAATCTCAGAAGGCTTTTCCAATCTCAGTGACTCTATGTGCACAGCTAGCCCCCACAAGGCCCATCTCTGGGGGATGCACACCTATGGGCTGCATGTGAGCACACACAGGGCTGCAGCAGCCCTGGGATGAGGCTGGAGGCAGTGGGTGAATCAGAGCCTCACACCAGCACAGCACTGCAAGGTGCCCCCAGCGCCGGCTGAGGGATTTGCTAAATAAAGCCCAAATCCATCAGCCTCATCCTGCCAAGAGCATGGCCCTGCAAATCCCAGCATTAAGGCATCCTCAGTGAGAGGGTGACAGACACACAGACCTGTCCTGGCTGTCCCATTACCAAATCACAACAAGACATCACACTGCCAACAAGCCAAGGCAGTTCTCCCAGTGGGAGCAAAGCAAGGAGAGGCTAATCCCCCCAGCAGCCCGACAAGAGCCCCGACTGCCACGTGGGGCTGGACTCAGTCACCTCAGAGGCTTTTTCCAACCTCAATGATTCCACAGCTCGCTGCTCCCTCCCTGCTGGCCCCTCGCAGCAAGCGCTGCTCCCTTCTGCTCCGTCAGCTTCGCTCCATCCATCCCCACTCTCCCCGTGCACAAAGAGCCGCAGGGCCCCTTCCGTCCCACTGAGCAAAGGGAGCAGCAGGGAGCCAACCCCGGCTGTGCCACTGCCAGGCCCACACAGAGCAACGAGTGCACACTGCAGAGCACCCACACAGCACATCCCAGCATTCACCTTCCCCCACTCCCACCTCCTCTTCCTCCCTGCAGCACGGCAGCTCAGCAATCCTCTGCTAAGTGGGGCCAAGCTCCACAGCTGCAGCTCTGCATCCTAAATAATGCCCCATGCCTCCACAGGGCACAGCTGTGGTCCCATGCTCTGGGTTTTTGTTAGGAAGAAGAAATGGTAAAAAATTCCCCATGCAAAGGGATGCCTGGGGGTTGTGGGCAGTGCTGCACACCTGTGCTCCCAAATGCTGCTGGCCCATTTGGGGGCTGTATCACAGAGAGCATCAGCCCCTACAGTGTGTTTGGGGTGGGATGGGGCTGAGGCACAGGACGCACAAGAATCCTCAGATCTCACCTTGTTCATTGCTGGCCCCAGTGTCAGGGTGGGAAGCAGGGGCTCAGCAGCACCTAAGGGGCTGGGTTTCAACTAGAGAAGCCACGGGAGCAGTGCAGGCTGTGGGCGTTCCAAGGGAACATTGTGTGCTGAGATGCTGCTTCCTTGAAGCTGTGAGCAGTACTGCTGGTGCCCAGGGCAGACCCAGCAGCTCCCTGCCTGCTCTGGGCTGTTTGCTTGTTTTTTTGGCTGAAGAATGAGGATATGGAAAAAAAAAATGCTTTATTTGAATAATGTTGGGAATATTCTCGCAGCTCCCAGGGTGTGCTGCCAGCTTAAGGGCACGTGTTAGGGGTGGCAGAGAGCTGCAGGTAGGTCCTGTTTGGTGATGCAGAGCGAGGTGGCAGCCTGTAAATGCTGCAGGTGATCGTGTCCTGGGTCGGATGGCACTGCCTGGGTGCCCCGTGCACATTGGCACAGGCAGAACGAGGCCACCAGCTGTGGGTGGAGCCCTGCAGGGAGCAGACAGAGCCATGCAGGGAAATGGCAGTGCAAGAGGAAGAAAATCAAATGGGTCCCAAAGTGAGCACCCTAAGGATGCAGGCAGCCTGGAGCCACTGCCTCCAGCTGTGCGGAATCCAGCTGTGCAAGGATCCAGCTGTGCACAGCCCTGGCTGTGCTCAGGCTCCAGCCAGCCAGGATCCAGCTGTGTCTGGCTTTAGCTGCGTGGGCATCCAGCTGTGTGTGGCTCCAGCAGTGCTGGCTCCCATTGCACAGATCCCTGCTGCCTGTCCTCATGGCACGTGCCCCTTTGTGCACATCCCCGCTGTGTGCGCAGCGCCGTGCAGCGGTTTGGGCTCGGCAGATGGAGCTGTACAGCTGTGCACGGCTGTGTGCACAGAGCAGGCTGAGCTTTGGCTGCTGCGTGGGTGGGGAAATGCAGCGTGGGGAGCCCCAGGGTGACACTGCCCACGCTTTGCAAAAATGGGACCTCACCAAAATTGGTGACCCCTTTCCTGCCCCACAGAGCAGACCCGAACTGTAGATGGATGCATGCTGAGATGCGGCAGGATGTGCCCAAAACATGGCATGTTGCATTCAAAATGCTGCCAGCAGCTGAGTAGCTCTGCAATAAAGGCACATTTCTGGGGCTGCTCTTACTGCTGGTGCACAGCCCCAGCCAGCCTGATGTTCTGCAGCTCTGATGGGACCTGCATCCCTGTGCCCTGCCACGCAGTGAGCAGCACTGTGCTGCACTGTCCAGGTGAGAAATGTACCACTGCTCAGCAGAAGAAATCTGCAGCTTCCTCAAAGCTGTGCTGCTGAAACAGGGACTGTGCTGTGCACCCAACCACAGCCCCTCCTCCAGCCTGAGCTGCATTCCCTGCTTGCACAGTTGCACACAACAGCTGCACGCCATGGTTACTCAGCCAATTGCACGCATTCCTGCACCCCAGGGTACAGCTGGGAGCAAGCAGAGCACCATCCCTGCATGCCACCCATGAATGCAGCCAACACTGTGCATCTGCTGCATGCCTGATGCTTAAGGAAGCCATACAGCTGCAGGGGCTAGCAGGAACCTGAGGCCAGCAGTGTGCAGCCAACACACGGCCTCCTCCTCGAGGAGAGGATGCAGAGTGCCATCACCTGACTGGGGAATCCCCCTAGATGAGGTCTGGGGTTGGTTCTGTAGCAGTGCTGCTGGAGCAGAGCAGGGAAGGATGCTGCTGCAGCACAGAGCATGGCGGCTGCGCTCGCTGCACTCGCGGTGACGCCACTGCCAGAAGTGGGTCAGTGGGAAGGGAAAAAATAAACCCGGGGGGGTTGAGAAAGAAGGGAGAGGCAGCACAGATCACACCGCAGCCCACCCCCCTCAGCACTGCTTCGTGTTCTTTAAGCTGGGCGCATCGAAGTCAGAGGGTAAATTGGGTGGAAAGGAGAAATCGGTCTCAGCAGCAGCAGCGGTGGTGCCCGGGGGGTACAGCCACAGTATGGGGCACCGCTGCGGGGATGAGGGGACAGGATGTGGCCCTGTGCTCAGCTCCGCCGCCCGCTGCCGGCCCGGCCCCACGCAGCAGCAGGGCGTGTTGTTCCTGGAAGACCGCTGGTTGTTTCAATTGCGTTGGGTACGGCCGGGACATGAAAGCCACCGCCGGGCTGCGGTGCGCTGCGGCATCGCCTTCCTGTCTGCAGCGCCTTCCTGGCGCCGCTGCCGCTGGGCAGGGACAGCACTGAGCGGGGAGCAGCCATCCCATGGGCATCCCCTTACCCCGTGCCACATCTCTGCCACCCCGTGCCATGTCCCAGCCACCCCATGCCATGTTCCAGCCACCCTGTTCCACATCCCAACTATCCTGTGCCATGTCCCAGCCATCCCGTGCCACATCCCAGCCATCCCGTGCCATGTCCCAGCCATCCTGTGCCACGTCTCAACCATCCCATACGACGTCTCAGCCATCCCATTACATGTCCCAGCCATCCTGTGCCATGTTTCAGCCATCCCATGCCACATCCCAGCCATCTCATGCCATGTGCCAGCCACCCCACACTGTGTCCCAGCCTCCCTGTGCCATGTCCCAGCCATCCCATGCCACGTCCCAGCCAACCCATGCCATGTCCCAGCCTCCTGTGCCATATTTCAGCCATCCCATGCCACATCCCAGCCATCCTGTGTCACATCTCAACCATCCCATACCATGTCTCTGCCAACCCATGCCATGTCTCAGCCATCCCATACCATGTCCCAGCCATCCCATGCCACATCCCAGCCATCCCATGTCCCAGCCATCCCATGCCATATCCCAGCCATCCCATGCCACATCCCAGCCATCCCATGCCATGTCCCAGCCATCCCGTGCCATGTCCCAGCCATCCCATGCCACATCCCAGCCATCCCATGCCATGTGCCAGCCACCCCACACTGTGTCCCAGCCTCCCTGTGCCATACCTGCAGTCCAACCCGCACTGAACAAACAACGCTGTGAGCAGCCCTGGGACAGGGTCATGCGTTCATTTATTCACTTCATATAAAAATCTCTTAAGAATGCATCTGAACACAATATATAATACTATAACATACGTTGTGTGAAACTTTTGAAAACAAGAAAATAACCACCTGGAACAATGCAGTGTTCGACAGACATACACACCCATTGATCATGCACAACTGTGCTATTGTCATTAACTAGTTGTCACGAGTTGGACCAGAAGCTCAAAACGTATGTTACAAACCGAGTGGCACTGCTCGCCGTGCCCAACGGCGTCGTCAGGAGGAGTTTCACAGCACAATTATCACATCAGTTCACATTTTTGTCATAGAGGTTCACATTGGGTTGTCGGGAGGCTGGGGCAGGACGCGGCCACCTCCGCCCCGTCCCCTGGGTTGCGTATGTCTCTTCAGCTGTGTTCAGGTTTTGTACTTTATGCAATACAAAAGGTTACGAGAAAACAAAACAAAACAAAACAAAACAAAAAAAAAGGAAAAATAAAAGGCAACTCTTATCCCGAGTCTTCTACACAATTAACATCGCCGCCGACAGGCAATGCTAATTCATATAAATTAATAACTTACAAAACATTACAGTATATACATTACGTAATAAATACACTGTTATAAACAGTAATGGAGGTGTTAGAGCTCAAGGCAGTGCGGGAGGAGGAGGAGGACGGTGGGCCTAAACGTAGGGAAGGCGGAACACGAAGGTGTTTGCGTGCCACTGCGCCGCAGCCACCCCGGGCAGAGGGGCAGGCAACGAGGGGGGCCTTCAGAAGACTAATTAAAAGTGCCGTAATGCAAAAACGGAGGGAATCCCTTCTCTTAGTCTGGAAAAGTGATTGACCGCAATAAAGTGACAGCTATTGCCCGTGGAAAAAGGAAGACTGCTTCTTGTAACAGGAAGAATCGAAAAGGATCCGTCGGTTCCCGAACACTCGGTGCCGCTGCTTACACTGAACTCTGTGTATCGAACAGATCTCGAAAAGACATGGGGGTGTTTACAAAGAAGGCACACAGGTCTGCAGACAGGCGGTGGGGCGGGCAGGTTCTACACGCAGAGTTATGGATCAGTAGTTTCTATCAGCCCGGCGGGTTGGAGTCCCGGAGCAGTACGGAATCTCTCCGCCGTGTGCTGGGCCGCTCGGTGTTGGCTCCCGCAGCCCCAGGCCACGCGGCGCCCGCAGCTCACACGGCCACCCCAGCATCACTCACGGCGTTTCCTGAGCCATTGTTCAGCACAGAGCCCTGACAGCCCCACGGACCCACAGATCCGTCAGCCAATGTCAGGCACAGGCTTAAGGCCCAGGCTGCAGGCGAGTCCCACCAGACCGCTTGCATGCTCGTTAAGCGTTTCCAATCCACTTACACAGGTGCAGGGCATTATGTGTCAACGGGAGACGTGTCCTCTGTCACAATTTCTATGTTCGCCTCCCGCTGCACGTCCTCCTGCCCCGGGCTGCCCGTGCACAGCATCTTCGTGCTGCGGAAGTAGCCGATGCTCTCGCCTTCCCTCTCGGGCCCGTCCGAATCCTCCTCCTCCAAGGTCAGCTCAAACTGGAACTTCTCCATCAGGCCGGGGCAGTCCTGGCCCCGCTCCTCCAACGGGGGTGAGGGGCTCTGTGGGATCATGCTCTGGTACCAGTTCCTGTTGTCCTCCAGAGTGTCCAGGATGTCCTGTGCGTCCGGCTGCACCAGGTCAGCCCACGTCTCCCACAGCGGGTGCACAATGTAGTCGATGAATCCGACCTGCAAAACATGGGAACGCACTTAGGGAAGGGAAATGCACTGAGATGGCTGTCTGAAAAGTTAAAATGATATTAATGCATGAGTTTATGAGCTGAACGCCTGCCTAGGTGCAAGCTCTCCAAACCACAGGTCTGAATAGCAGGAGTCCTACACATGGGGAGGAAAAACAGCACACATCAGGGTAGGTCAGGGGCTGAGCTGCTGGAAAGGAGCTCTGCAGAGAAGGAAGGACCTGCGGGTCCTGGTTGACCAACAGTTGGCCAACAGTTGGCCATGAGGCAGGAGTGTGTCCTGGTGGCCAAGAGGACCACTGGGACTGGGGGTGCATTGCCCAAAGAGTGGCCAGCAGGTGTGGAAGGTGCTCCTACCTTCTGCTCTGCACTGGGGAGGGCACAACTGGAGCACTGTGCCCAGTGTGGGGCTGCCCAGTTAATGGCAGACAGAAAACTGCTGGAGAGCCCAGTGGCGTGTGTAGGGATGGTGGAGGCCTGGAGCACCTCCTGATGGGGACTGAGAGCCCCAGGGCTGTGTGCATGGGGAGGAGAAGACTGAGGGGGATCTGATCAGTGCTGATCAGATCAATGCCTGCCCTAAACCAAGTTCTGTGTGAAAGGTAGACTGAAAGCAGAAGCCACCTGGAACTCCAAGATGAAGCTGCTGCACCTGTCCCTGGCTGAAAGATTCTGAATGTCCTTGTGGGTGCCTCCTCCTGCCCAGAGAATCAATCACTGTATGCAGGGGATAGGGCAAATAACTGCTCTGAAGGTGGAGCATCCCCAGGGTCCCCGCAGAAATGACACCTAGTGACCATTGGTCGGTCCATCCTGGTGGAGATTTCCTTTCCTTTCATTTTGGAAAGAGTGCAGGGAGAAGAGGAGGCAGCCCAACAAGTTCTGCTCCTGTGCCCATGCGGGCTGCCTGAGCCCCCAGTGGTGACGTGCCGGGGTGGAAGCGGTGCGGCCGTCAGCCCATCCGCTGGCAGGCGCGTAGGCACTGAGCTCAATCATGTTTCAATTGTCTGAGTAAGAGGACGTACGTCCAGGATGGAGAAAACTGAATGGCCATAAAGAGGATTGAAATTCTTCCGTCTTGGCAGAGTGTGTCACTTCTCTCCTCACTGCTGGACGACGTTTCTGCGCAGCAGGAAAATGGCTCTCAGAGGGGCCAGGCTCAACGCGCAGATGTTTGCTTTGGAAATCACACATGCCTCCTTCAGACACAACAGGATGTCAATAGAACCATTAACATTCAATTGTAACATACTGGGAAGGCAGCTTAAACGAAAAGGTGATGAAAATTTCCTGCAGCACAGGAGATCCGGAGCACTTTTAGAGTGACAAAGATCCCAACCGGTGAGCCGACGGCCACCCGACACGGCCTGGGGGAGCACAGCTTGGGACTGACCGCCTCGCACGGCGCTGTCGTTTCCTTGCACAAACAGCTCCTGTGGCAGAGCAGCTGGCCAGCCTGATCCTAAAGTGCTCTGATGTAAAGAGGAACACAGCAGAGCTCGGCCACACTCACACGCTGTCTGCCCCTGGGTTCTCTGTTTCACCCCGGGATGGAAATGCTGCTTCCCCCTCTCCTTTGCGTTCGTTGGTATTTCGGTAGTGGCCATTTCGTGAAACTCCTTTTGCAAAGCAAAAAATGCCATTTTGAAACCTCTGTGAAGCATGTATGTGAACCACAGAATTAACTGGAGCTCACACGCGGAGCACATGGGCATCTTCTGGCCAAGCCTGGCTGAAGGATTCATTTCTTGTTAGGTTAACAAATAAGACAGATTTTTCCAACAGAATCACCATGCGGTCCAGTGAATAATTTTGAAACTGCCTGGCTTAGCCCAAGAGGACATTTGGAAATAATTATCATCGATTTTGTTACTTATTCAAACTGAAAAACCTTGATGATGGCTTGCTCAAGTCCTTCCAAAACAACAACTGGGACAGCATTACATGAAGACTGGAGTTATGTTCTGGCCAACATAAACCTCCGGCTTTGTTTCTGCCTAACCAGGTGAAACACTGTGGCCTGTGCTATGCAGGTCAGATCTAAGTTGACTTTGAAATCATCTGAGCTGTGAATCAGAGCCAGGGATGAACCAGGTGATCTCAAAATACAAGAAAAAACCCAAGTTCTTTTTAAGACCTGCACTGAGTTAAATATCTACATTTGGACTTCACAATACTGAGGCTCCACTGAGCTGAGCTGGCAGATTCATGCGCTGCAAAACCATTGTACATGAGGCCAAAAGCAACCAAAATTTGGACTCTGTTGGAGTCCTGGGTAGCTGTTGCCTCTCCTGAAGCTCCCCTCGGGGCTGCCTGTATCTCTGCCATCAGAGGGACAGGCATTGTCATACATTTCTAATGTGGGGTGCAGTACCAGTAGGATTAGGAGGTGCTAATTAAGAGCTAGCAAGGAGGCTGTGGGGTGTGAAGACGTAAGAGACCCAAAAAGATCAGGACACTCCTCCAGCCCGGGGAACAAAAGGAGAACAGCTCACTCTGGAAACTGGGACACAAACAGGACAAGATAAGCATGTGTGTGGGGAGCGTGGGGACGCCAAGGGGTGGGCAGGGAGCCCACAGCCTGGCTGCAGGGCTGTAGGAGCTCCAGGCACAGCTGGGCTTTAGGGTCAATCAGAACCAGCCCTCAGAACAGCTGGCCCTTCGCCTAGCTGTGTTAGAGAAAGCAGATGAGCTTTGTCTCTGAGGCAATACTGACGTGTGGCTCTGGGCCAATTACCTGTGATTTTTCCACCGACGCCGTGTGTTTGTCACACATGGGGCTGATTTCCATTCCCCTTTCCCTCTCTTTGTCTCCCTGCTGGAAGAATTCCTCCATGATTCTGTCTGTCCACTGCCGGTACAGCTCCAGGGACTTTGTGGGATTACTCAAGTCTGCACAATGTACCATGTTTCGGAGAACCTGCAATTACATTCATCAGAAAACTCATAAAATCCAATGGAAAAAGAGGACGGCTTCAAGCTGTATCTGCTTGCTCAATTCAGAACATTTAACCACGAGGCTCTTTGATTATGCAATCTGGTATAGAAATGTTAGCACCCTACGATCACTGTGCATGGGACTTGCAGCTGCAGAGGTGCAGCTCTGCGTGTTCCAGATGTCTCAGAACTCACACCGGGTGCAGCAGCAGCAGCAACACTGGTGACATCACAGAGGTTTGTTTTTGAATGCAGGTGCTTCCCACCATTCAAAGGGTATTTTCAGGCTCTCGTATGGTTAAATGCTGCTGCTTTAGTCAATGAGTAACATCCCTTTCACGCACACAGCCGGGTGCCTGACTAACTGCGGCCACGGGGACTCAGTGCAGGGAGCTGCTCTAACATCAACAGAAGTGTGAGAGGGTTTTCTTGTTCTAAGCTGGCCAGCAAAGTGGGGAGACAGCAATGTACCTCATCCTACATGTAAACCATATAACCCTTCCCAGAGCTGCCTTGTCACGTGTGTAAGGTGAGGATTAGGCCCTGGAGAGAGTAGTGTGCATCATTAACTTCAACGCAGCTTAAGAGCTGCTTCAGCTATGGAGTTACAAACTGAGCTCCTGCAATCATGCTGTACCTCTTTGTCAGGACAAAGAAAGGAGAGTGCAGCAGGGAAATTCATGAGCCCTCAAATACTCAGTCGTACAGATCAACCTCAGAGGGACAAGCATGCTTGCAGCTGCCTGCTCCAAGAGTTAAACAGCTAATCCCTTCCACCGAAAAGACACGAGACCTCCCCCCCCCCATACCCATCTGTTTGTGGTGCAGAGCACATGAAATCAGGAGGCCCGCAGCTCCTGCATGATGGCTGAAAATCTGGGTCAGCCTCTTTGCTATATCTAGATCATCTGGAAGCAACAGCAAGAACAGGAACGTGGTTTCCTTGGTTCTGAACAAGACAGGCAAGGTGCTTCTGTCCTGCAGGAACTCTGTGCTGTACCTGTATCCTGTCCGTGTAGTTGTCCAGCAGGAGGACTCCTGAACTGGTCACCTTCTTAGTTTCCACCATCGTCTTCAGATCTGCCAGCAGGCTCATGTGCTTGGACATATCTGTTGCCAATACCTTTATGGAAGAGAAAACACAACCTCAGTGAGGGCGGCCAGGTGGAGAAGCAGCAGTGAAGAGCAGCAGTGTGCCAGGGCCCTACCATGTCAATCACCATCTTCCTGAGCGTCTGCCGCTGCTTCTTGGTCAGGTTCTGGAAGATGTCGCAGTGCTCCTCCTGCAGCAGTTTGAAGCCCACTGCCAGGTGGTGGTTCTCCAGGACGGACTCGTCGTTGTACATCAGTGCCAGCTCGGAATCTGCCAAAACAACACAAACATGGACTCAGTCTGCATGTAGTGTGGGACTCCACAGCGAGCAGTGGGCACGGCGATGTCTGCCTGCGTGCACCAAAGGGAGAAGTTTCCTTTTTTGTATCACGTAGTCCAAGAGCATGTAGCTCTGACCACATGTGTACAGAACACCAACAGCCCTTTGCTAGCCCTAATGAGCCAAGCAGCATCCAGCTGACTTAGTTACAGGCTTTGGAAGCACTGACAGCAGAAAGCATGGACCCTGCACACACGCTTTCCAAAAAAGAACAATGCCCATCCTTTGGAACCAAAACACATGCTTAGCCTGTTGCAGAATACAACACGAACCACAATATTTAGCTCTATTGTTGTCAATAGCAACAGCATTACTAATCTTCTGTTAATGATGAAATTCGGAAGATTTATTATGCCTTATCAAATGAAAATCACAAGATTCAAGGCCGCTTTGCAAATTATATTACAATAGCTTCCTTTGTTTTGATAGGAATTTGATTTATATTGTCTCTCCATTTCAAAACGTAGAACTCATTTGCTGTGCAGTTTTTTGATAAGGCACCGTGGTCTGAAAGTCACCGTTTGGCCCTTGCTGTAATGGAAAACGTACTCTGAGTTTGCAGATGAAACCATGATTGTATTTGAAACAAAACTCACTTGTGTTAATCAGAAACTGGTTGGAGACACCAGGGTGATCCACGTCGTGAATTGCGGCTGCAAAAATTGCAGCGAGGATTTCCAAGTCGGTGAAGACAGCCTATGGAGGAAATGGGGATCTGTGAGAGAAGCCCATCACCACTGCGGGATGCCCATTTACAGAAACAAACCCTCTCCGCTTTCTGAATCACTTTTAGGAGGACGAGGCTTGTGTAAGTAAGCCATTTGCTCAGAAGAGAGGTCGACGTGCAAGCACGCGCTCCTTAAGATGAAATAGAGATTACAGATGGAGCTGCAGCTGAAATACTGCTGGACACTGAGCTCAGCTCAACGCAGTACTCACATCCAGTGCAGGGGTGGAGAGGAGAACGTGGGTGGACTGGGCGACATCAGCAGCATGCAGGCTGTTGTGGTACGCCACGTCCGAATGGTAGTGGTCTTCCAATGTCATCATGTACGTCACAAAAGTGTCTGATGAGATCTTGAATGTCTTCAGTAGATCTCGCTCCTGCATAAGACATGTCAAAAGTATCTTAGAATCATAGAATTGTAGAATGGCCTGGGTTGCAAAGGAGCACAATGCTCATCCAGTTCCAACCCCCTGCTGTGTGCAGGTCACCAACCAGCAGCCCAGGCTGCCCAGAGCCACATCCAGCCTGGCCTTGAATGCCTGCAGGGATGGGGCATCCACAACCACCTGTACACAGGGATGTCACAGTGCACCAGGTGTTGTAACAGGGAGCCACCAGGTATTAAACCAGTGCTGTGAAAGGACAGAAAACCACGCACCTGAAATATGGCGTACATGATGCAGGTGAGCGGCCTGTTGTGGGAATACCTGGCAACGTTAAATATGTTCAGACCCCACTTATTCAGATCCTCCAGCTCCTTTGGAAAAGACACAAAGAGAACAGTTAAAATGTTTCTTGAGACGTGTCTTCATGTATCCCTCCCACCAAAGCTTTTTGTTTTCCTGTCTGCGGTAGTCAGGCCAGTTCATAAGCACCAGTAATTACTGCAGTACAGGAACACAGGGCAGCTATGAAGTGCTGATGTCAGAGCAGCTGTACGAGGAGGCCATGTGCTCCAAGATCACACCAATTCTCCACGAACCATATCAATCTGATGTACCTTGGCCAGATGATCTTCCTTTTCTGTTTTCACACCAAACCGCGAGATGCTGGTATTATTTAAGCTTGAACTATGCATTAATTTTTTCACTCCGCTGATCTGGGTCATGAGCTGCTGCTTTTTCTTCTTCTCTCTGTCCTTCTGAGTGGGAGAAGGAATCTCCACATCATTCTGCTTGTCTGCAACAAAGAGAAGTGAAAGAAATCAGCATCATTTTCAGGAACACTGTGAGCACCCAGCGCAGCCCCTCACATCAACCCTTACTTTGCTCATCAATACAGAATCGTAGCATCACAGCATCATTAAGGTTGGAAAAGCCCTCCAAGCCCTTCAAGCCCACCTCCAGCCCACCCCATGCCCACTGCCCACATCCCTCAGTGCCACACCCCCATGGCTCTGAACACCCCCAGGGATGCTGACCCCCACCCCTGGGCAGCTGTGCAGTGCTGAGTGCTCTTTGGGTGAAGAGATTTCTCCTAACACCCAAGCTGGCCCTCCCCTGGAACAATGTGAATTCCAAGAAGAATCCTTTTGATGCATACAACATCCTTATGAACAGTGCAGGGGAGAATCTGAGGAGCAGAGACTAGGGAAAATCCTTAGAGAAAGATAGATTTACACTGTATATTGCTATTCAGTGCTCAGTGCAAAATAACACTTAGGAAAACAGGGTAATTACCCTTAAACCTTTAATTAGTGTTTCCATAATGCCTCCCGGTTAGCAGGTCACGTTCACGGCCCATCAAAGGGCACATGTGGATTTCTGTGCCCGAGGCACTGCTCTGCAGAGGCTGAGCTCCTGCCCATGCCCATGGCAGGGCCCAGTGACAAACCCAACCTCTCACACCTTGGCCAAGTGACGGCGTTGGGGCTGCCTCACTGATGCCTTCCTCAGCTCATTTAATGAAGCCAAGCAACTGAACACAGATATGCCATCTGGTTTTAGCATCCACGAGCTATCCTCATTTCACAAATGCTGCTTGGATACATTTCCAAGGTCTCTTCCAACCCAAGCCCTACTATGATTCTATGATTTCTCCTTTTCGGTTCAACCGCTTCTACAATGTGCATTCCTTTCATTTTTAAACCACATTTTAAGGGAAAAACAAAAAGCAAACTCATAAAAAAGTGACAGCACTACTTCCTAAAAGAGCTTTAAGATCCATTTGAAAGCTCTGATAATTTCTCTCCAATGACCCCACCAGAATGGGTGTACACGTGCTGTATGGGTGTGATATCAGGTCCCCAGCCTCAGGCTGCAGTGGGTATATCTGCAGAATGCACTCAGAAGTGCCCTGCTGCTGGCAGTGGGGCTGCCCTGCTTTTCTTCCCTGTATTAATTTCTGCTCTGGATGTCGCCATTAAGCTGAGTGATAGGAGAGGAGCAGTGGATTCCCACAAAGCAGCTCCAGACTCTTACATGGATTATTCATGATGTGATGAGCCCTAAATGCACACGGCAGCTCCAGTTGCAACTGGCTATTGAAATCACTTTAAAATCCCTTAATGGAAATAATGGTGTGTCATAGAGGGAAGGTATTCTGGGCCACCAGGACCGTGGGGTGTGAGCTCCCTGAGGATGTGGGCACAACGTTCAGGCCAATGGAACTGGGTACTTGGTGGGGGGTGCCCAGCATGAAGCTGCTGCTTAAGAGCCACCGAGCACCTATTTGGGAACTGTTTGAAACCACAGTAAACTGTATTTTTTGTAAAAGATGGGCTTTGTAAACACAGAGGAAATAAACACTTCTCAGAACACTTAAATGTTTAATTCATTCGTGTTGGTCGTCCTGGAAGCTCCTACAAAAGGAAAGTCACGCAAAATGCTGTGCGTATCTGTGAGGCTGGGCTCAGATTTCCAGTGCAAAATGAGCACGTAAGCACAGAGTAATAAAACTCCTGGGTTGACCTTGCCCGTCTGAGCCCCTGTCTCTGAGGGGGAGATGCAGTTTTATGAGGCAGAAGGTGCAAAGATGAGTGCGTGCAGCTGGGCTTGGGTGGCTTTGTCCTTCACGTAAGGTCAACACAAAAAGCAAACATTGCACAACGTGGCCAACAGCAGCTCGGTTCAGCCCAGCCAGAGAGATCTTTCCATCTGGAAAGGGAATCCCTCTGCGCAGAGCGCCCGGCTAGCGCTGCATCCTTCTCCTCCCCATCTCCGTTGGGAAAGCAGAAAATCAAAGCCTTTCAGTAATGCTGTGTGCTGAGATGTGGCTGTGAAAGAAGGCAGAGGCAGGGGCTGCCCCAGGGGCCACAGCCCAGGCATTGCTTACCCAGGAAGGTGTTGGAGATGTACTCGGACACCTGGTTGCCGGAGCGGCTCATCTCGGAGAGGTGCGTCAGCTCGCGGTTCAGCATCCTCTTGAACTGCAGGGAGGGAGAAACACAAACATAGGAATGGAATTTTTATGAATGCTTTTACACGGCTTCAACTCTACAGCAAGCAAATGGACAAGCAAGAGGTGAAAAATAAAATTACAGAGAGACATGAAACAGAGTCAGAGCCATTCAGCTTCACTGAGATACCCTGCAGCACCAGCGCAGCTACGTACTTCTGCTCAGTATGCAAAAACTGCAACACAAATTTCCTCCACAGACAGACATTATTTTCACTGCCAGAAATGAGATGCCTCAGGTAACCTCTCCGAGAGACCCACATCTGGTACTGGATTCTATTTCCCCCTCCTTTTCTTCTCAGCTCCATTACATAAGTTTGCTCCATTTTGCGATGCGGCTGCATGTGATCCAAAGAGAAAAGCAAAGATGCCACAAATCTCAGGTCTGCCTGCATCACTGCAGTGAGACGCAGCGCTCGCCCAGCTGCTCCCATACGTTGCTCTCCATTTGCTAATTGCACGCTTTGGTTGCAGCATCATTTTACCCTGCAGAAGTGAATTCCCAAAGGGGAGAAGCAACTCGCATCCACGTACGCTGCATGCACCGCACACACGCACCGTGTGGGAATAACCACTCCAACGGCCCCACTCCCTCCCAGGGGCTTTACCTGAGGAACACAGCACAAAAACAGGCACCGAGGAGCCGGCAGGATCCAACCCACCTTAATGTAACCCCAAGACACGGACAACAAAGCGTTGGCTTCAGGCATTTTGGAAAACACCCCGCGCCGCAGCCCTCGCTCAGGTCCTTGTGGAGCCGTCACCGGCGAGATGGGAGCGCTGGCAGCCAGCAGCAATCAGCGAGCGTTGAGCCCCCGCAGCCCCCAGCGCCCGGAACGCCGCACGCTGCCGGAGCCCAGCCCGGCACCGCATCTCTGCAGCGTGGGTGGGTTCTCTTTGCAGAGAATCCCGACCGCGGGGCTGCTCGGGGAGGCGGCGGCGAATCCATGCGCGTGCGGCGAGGCCGTGTGCCGCGGTGGGTGATCGCTGATGGGGGGGGGAGGAATGGGTGGATGGGTGGGAGCGGGGGGCAGACCCTGCGCAGCCCACGGCCCCACGGTGCGGCCCCACAGCCATCTTTGGGAGGAGGGTAAGATGGAGGAAGCGATGCGCGGCCAAGCGAGGCGCAGCACGCAGCCTTCTCCTCTCCGTTCTGCTTTTTGTGCTTTTTTTTCCCCCCCCCCCCCATCTTCATTGCAGAGGGTTGCCAGGCAAGTGTTCAGAGGGGATTTTCAAAGCGTTGACACCACGCATGTGATTGGTGTTTTTTCTCCCCGTGGCAAAGAGGCAAAATGCAGCAGTGCAGCATAATGCACCTTTACAAACTGGGAGCACTTCTCAATGTGGAAACGCAAACTAGAGATAAGGCGGTATCTGCAATTACATTGTGCAATCACAACGCAAGATTTCAATAAATCCTCTCACTAGGACTCCTTCCCAACCCAAATCCTGTGATTTATCACTGCGCTGCTATGACAAATCCAACATGGGCACTGTGCTGCAGCCCCACTGCTGCTGCGTGACACTGATCCCAGCATGGCATCCCTGATGGCAGAAACGTCACTGCCTGTCACAGAGCTGCAGGAAGGACCTTTTTCACTTTTTCCTCTGAGCCACAGCAGCTTGGGGTGATTCTGGCACACACCAGCACCTGTGCTGCCTTCTTATCTGGAAGAAAAAAAAGCACTTCTTGCATTCTGAGCTGTGCTTTCTTTGTTAAATACAGCCGCTACATGCAGCACGGCCAGCGCTCAGGTTTGCATCCTACAGTATCTTAGCACCACCTGGATGGGACTCCTGCATTGCACATGGCTTCCTTGGCAATAACAATAAACAGATGGGAGCTGTGCTGGGGTGACACAGCCCTGACCCCAAACTTCCATCCCTCGTTGACCAAGGACAATCATCTTCTCCATAACTCCGTGATGGAGTCAGGGAGGTCCTCCTCCTGTCCCTCCAGTGCACGAGGACAGAAGTGAGCAGCTGATGCCACCTCCCATCTGCTGCCCACACAGACCCAGGGTGGGCAAAACTCACAGAAATGGATTGGGATGGTGCTGCTGGGACATGGGGGAGATCCGAGCCTGCTTTTCCCCTAGTGAAACACTGTTGGGTCACAAGCCCAGCCAGCCATGTGCCCACACCGATGGCAAGCATGTGTTAAAGGACTCATAGAACCACACAGCCATAGAATGGTGGGGTTGGATGGGACCTCCACGCCCATCCAGTTTCACCCCTGCCATGGGCTGGGTGCCCCCACCAGCTCAGGCTTCCCAGCAAAGTTGCACCAGTTGGGTTTTCCACGCAGTGCGCCTTTGTGCTTTGTAGGGCTTGGTGCAATTTGCCATCTGAAAGATGTGGGCACATAAAAGTGGGATTTACTTAAAGACATGAAAAACTGCACGCACAGATTGATGTGCAAGCCTCCACAACAATTCCTTGTCAAATCAATCTGACTGCAAAGGAAGAGCAGGTTGGGATGCCAACTGCTCTGCCACAGAGCAAGCAGCAGCCTCACTTCTTTAGGAGTGAATCTAGCATGCTTGGAGAGCTTGGGCACGGCTGCAGAACATGCTCCAGCACGCACCTGCAGAGGAAGGGAATGTGCAGCTGGTGCAGGTCCCTGGGGCTCCCTTCCACTTAGGGATGTGGCCGGTGGGCACGGTGGGGATAGGTTGGTGGTTGGACCTGGTGATCTTAGAGGTCTTTTCCAACCTCAGTGATTCCATGATTCCATGATTCCCTCTGTCCCAGCTCTGACCACACACACAGTACTTGCACAACGAAGTGGAACAAACCCCAACCCAGTGGGCACCACACACCCTTGGGCACGCCTGCCCCTACGCGGGGTGACAGAAGTGGAGCCAGCTGCAGGGTTGTGTGAGAAAACGCCATCGTCCTGCACGCAGTTTCCCTGTTCCACATGCTCTGAAGTAACAGCAGGAGCCATGTGAACCAAATCAGACCTTCAGAAATGACCCAATCCCAAAGGATCATCCTTTGATTACGGCAGCGGCTGTCCTTCACGAGCTGTCTCCAGCTTCCCACTGCTGTGCGCGGGGGAACATCCCCTGTGACAGCTCCAGAAAGTCGGGCAGAGTCCCACAAAAGCACACCCAGTCTGAGCCTCACCGTGCAGCCCCAGCAGCAGCCCTGCTGTTACTCGTGGCCCTGTGTCCCTCCGAGCACAGCACAGCAGTGCTCCGGGTGCTGCACAGCCAGGACAAGGCAGGAGGACGTGCCCGCTGCTGATGTCAGCCCTTTGAAGTCAGCGTGTGCCAGCTGAGGCTCCCCGAGGCCAGGAGCCCTCATTTAAAGACTGTAAGTGAGTTGCATGTATTTGCAGGAGGGTAAATGCAAGATAAAAGCACTGCGAAGGTGCTGCGGGGCTCCAGCCCGGAGCGGCTGGGGGAGTTGGTCCCACCCCACACTTTGATGGAGGAATCTCAGTGCACATCTCCAGCGAGTCCCAATGTTTACAAACCCTGTTCCCGACGACCCACCCTTCTGACGCAAACCTCGCATCCCCCGCGCTTGGAAATCCCTCCGACCAAAGGAGCTGTGCCACGAGGGCAACGTAAGCCTTTGATTTCCAGGCAGACACAGCCGGGCTCAGCCCCTATCCATGTGCTCAGCCCCAGTGTTGTGGGGCACAGCTGAGACCTCGCGCCAGCAGCACTGCCATGTGCCCGTGTGCCTGAGGACAAGTGCAATGGTTGCAGCCAGCAATCAGCCATTAAAAGGATCGACTGCTTTTGCAACTCTTTCTAGCTCTCGTTTCCTAAAACAATATAGCTTTTAATGCGCTAGAAACTATTTTTAATGAGATACAAACTGCTATTTGCTTTTTGTTTTCGGTTGTTGTTTTTTTTTTTATTTTCCCTTCAGCTTATTTTTTTAAACCCAAAAGTAAACACACGGTTATGAAATCTCCCACTTCACATCAAAGGGGAGTTGATTTATAGAGGCGTTCAAAGGGAGACTTTAAAGGAGCAACGTCACGACCAACTTGTTGGCTTTGTGCTATTAGGATAATTTAAAAATCCGCAGCCTAAATGTTGATAAATAAATAGCACGTTGCCATAAATCAGCATGCGGCTGCTCATGAAAGCAACATCACCTATCTGATGCAGACAGTGCAACATTCAGGTTTGCCATGAGGAGCTCAGCATTTGCCTGCGAGCAGCAGACCCCCCCGGGAGGCACACGCCTATGCAGTGCAGTGCTTAGGAGGGGATGGGGTGGAACCTGAGCACCAGTGCTACCAGCGGGACCTTTCCAGCTCATTTCCAGAGAAATGAGACTGAAATATGCAGACTGAATAGGAAAAGCTCCCTGTGCCAAGTGCTGCGAGCTAATCCTGCTGGAGCCAACGCTGAACCTCTGGCCATAAGGGCACGTGGGGGAACTGGGGAGCCAGGAACCCCTCAGCCTGCAGCCAAGCCTTGGTCAGGTCCACACCAGGGCTCCCCACGCTGTCCTGCTTGGCAGCGGTCAGCCCCTGCCTGGGACCAACATTCTGACCGACACAACGTATGGCAGATGGCCATTGCACTGTGCCCTGGGCTGCAGCACTGAGGCTGGACCCAACCTGCAGCTCCTCTGGAACCTCAAGGTGGTTTTTGCTTCATCAAACAGAGCTGTGGGTGCCCCCCCTCCTGGCGGTGCCCGAGGCTGTGGGTGGGCCCTGGGCAGCCTGAGCTGGTGGTTGCACCCGGCCCAGGGCTGGGGTTGGGGGGCTTTGGGGTCCTTTCCAACCCATCCATTCTGGGATTCCTTGGTTCTGTGATCCTTAAAGTCCTTTGAAACCAACCATCTGTGATTCTGGGATCCATCTGGGATTCAGGTTGGTGGCCCTGCATGTGGCAGGGGGGTTGGAGACTCATGATCCTTGAGGTCCCTTCCAACCCTGGCCATTCTGTGATTCTGGGATCCTATGAAATGCTCTCCTACTTCTTAACACGTCTCCTT